CAATTCAGAAAAAGAGCTGTAGAGGGTTTTTCCTCAGAAGAGGGTCTTAATCTCTTGTGAAACTTCACCCAGCTTAATTGTACAGCTAAGCCATGTTTTAGAGAGCCAGTGAGGTGGAGTAGTTAGGGCACTGGACTAGGTCCTAGGAGGCAAGGGTTCAAATTCCTTCTCAGCCATGAAACTCACTGGGTGACCTTGGAAAGGCCATTGTCTCTTAACCCAGCCTACTTCATAGGGCTCCTGTGAGGATAAAAAGGAGAGGGGGAGAACCACGTGCACCACCTCGACCTCCTTGGAGGAAAGATGGGGTATGCATATAATCATGAGAGGTTACTTGAAAACAAAAACTAAACTAGTCATTCTCTACACTTGACAGAACTGGAGAGAGAAACCCTGCCAGATGGGTGGGGAATAAATAATAAAATTATTTATTTAATATTTAAAAGAATATTATAATAAGCTTGATGCTTTGCCTAGGGTTCGTGAAACCTCATGCAAGTAGCACTAAACCATGACTGAGTTTTATGTGCACAGTAACACTGCAGTCACCAATTAGCGCGAACTATACTGAGCTGTGATGAAAATTCAGACTACAATCCTGTACCAATTACATTGGTAGCAAGCCTCACTAATCTCAATGGGGCTTACTTCATGTAGTAGATGATTGTGTAACAGCAAAATACCAAAATCTACTTCCAGATAGTCTTTTAAAAATGGTGCGTTTCCTCACAAAGCAACAACCTTCTATGCGTACACCAAAATCCCATATAAAACAGATTATGTGAATTGCCATGATGCCCTTGCTCAGCAGTGTGGCCATCTGCCCTCCAGTCGAATAAATCTGAAATCCTGAGGCAGCTATAACAATGACGTGCAAGTCCAAGGAACTAAATCCCAAGTGTGTGTGTGTGTCTGTTTTAAACGCTTAAAATAGTCATTACAATTTGTCTATTTAAGGCAAGATGGCCTTTCATGGTGTCTGCTGCCCTTGAGAACTAAAACAGTTATTACAGTAACTGCATGCTGACCCAACATTTTAAGACGCAATTGCCTACATAGTTCTGTAGCTTTCCCTCAGATGCAGGGCACACAAGCTGAATTTCAGAAGCAACATGCAGTATCCCACATTCATCGTCTAGTTCATTCATCTGCATTTATGTCTTATCAACTCACTGAACAATGAAATTGCATCATCCCTTTGTGTAATAATACAGTGGTAGTAGCAACTGGGGAAAACTAAATATAGATTCTGCATAATGTATGCCTTGGGAATTAAATAATGCAGTATTGTCCTTTTTTTCCCCTGCCTCCCCTTGTCAGACCATTTAGCAACAGGATCCATCTTGAGTTATGCTCTGTATCTCAATAAAGTCCCCTTGCCCCCGAAGGTAGAAGGAATGTTTTAAATTTCAGCTGGCTAAAAATAGCCTTGCTTGAAACGATTGAAAGTGTGAGCAGAATAATACTCAGATACAACACAGAGCTGGCATGCAGTACTGCATGTACATTAGGTAATGAGATAAAACTGCAGCTGCTCTTACAGTGATATATAGGTTGCCAAATGCATATGATTGGGCAAGGCCTTATGGCAACATACAGAAGCTGAATAACCTAAACTAGTTGAAGGCTTTTAAAAAAAAGACCACTGGGTTTCAAACGACGTCTTGGGAAACATAGGAGTTCTGTGGGATTAGTAACAGCACACAACCCTACCAGAAAGCCAACTTGGCTTTCTGGAATATTGGGTGCACTCTTCCCACTTTAGATCAAATCTATGCTGCCAGGTGCCATAAGAAAACGGCAGAGATAGCGCAGGATAGTGCACACCCTGGAAATGATCTCTTTCCGCTTCTGCCTTCTGGAAGAAGGTATAGGATTATAAAGGCCAGGACTAGCCGCCTGAGAAGCAGTTTCTACGCAAATGCAATTCTGGTTCTAAATGCAGCATAAGGAGTCTCTATAGTATAGTGTATTTTTAAGTATAGTGTATTTTATAGTATAGTATAGGGTATTTTAAAAGGGGGTTTCAGAGTTTTTAGGGGTTTTTATAGTATAGTATAGTGTATTTTAAAATGGGGTTTCAGAGTTTTTAGAGGGTTTTGAATGTTTTATGAAGTTTTTCAATTTCATTGTTCTATATGGGACAATGACAATAAAGATATCGTATATCGTATATATCATATAACTTGCATAACCATTCCCCACCTTCTCTGATGGCCATATTTTGGTTTAATATGAGATATGAATGAGCCTTTTGCACACTTCCATGTGCAAAAGGTCATGTGCAAGTGTCTAACTCGTGGCATCTCAATGAAATGCAGAAGTCTTCAGTTAACTACAGCTTCCCATTTTAACTGCAATGGTAAACTATGGTTGTCAGAATCAGGAGCAGACAGAACCTTAAACCAGCTTCAAACCATGATTTACGATCCTGGCTGGGCTCAGAAGTACAGTAACCAAGCCCAACTCCCGTTTGGATAAAATCGGAACTATAAGACTTCTGGAATTAATCACGGCCTGCCAAGAAGTGAGTACGGAAGGGACTGCAAGTATGGACAAACATTTCTTCCTATTTCAGCTTATTAAACTGAGATGCGCCCATCCAAACACAGCTAATGTGCAGTCACGGGAGACTTGAGTGTATTCCAGGAGGTTGTGCTCTCATTTTAGATGGGGTGAGGGTGAAACCAAATACACATTTGCCAGAATCCTCTGCAACAGACAACAGTCTTTGACAGATAAATCAATACAAGAAGGGTTCCCTGAAACCTAGTCTCAAAACTTCTGCACCCAAAATCCTACAAATGCTTATTAAAGATCACGCTACTGTGTCAGCTCTCTTTCAGAATTTAATAAAAATATCAGACTGAAACTCCCAAACAGTGAGTCATCTTTGAGAACTTTATGTTAGCCAAGTAATCAGGTATATAGCAACTGCATGGTCACACTCAATTTAATCCCCAGGCTATAGTTTGCCAACTTGTGGGGATTCCACTTTGCAATTCATTTAGATCATCATGAGTTACAGCAATGAAGTTAATGGATTTTTTTGTTTTTGTTTTTAAGGAGGAAAAGAAAATATATTGGCAGAGGGAAATTTGAGCCTTTCAAATCAGATGCAATGTTAAACTAGCATACCTAGATGCATAGCAGGAAACCTTACCGGCATTCTGCAATTCTGCTGAATTAACTAGGGATCTAGAGATTTTGTTTTCTGTTCCTGAAAAGGCTATGAATACATTCATGAATCTGTGGTTTGTTGCTTAAAGTACTAGAAAGTGCTTTCAGTAAAATTATTTTGTAATAAAGCAAGAGAAACCAAGGAAAACATGGGGGAAATCTTCAGTTTTTACTGAGTATTCAACATATTCTCAAATATTGATCATTAGCAAGTATGCTTTGATAATTCATTCAAAATATATCACTGGGGTATTCTCATTAACATTCATCAACCTGCAATAACACATGTCAGTCACAGGTGGTGCTAGATCTCTCCAATGGTTTGACCTTTCCCCCGAAGGCACCGTCTTCCATTGTCTCCCGAAACAGACTGATGCCAACACAACACCCATTAACAATGATATTCACCATCTTAGGGTTTAATTCTGTACCGAAGATCCACAGGCTGAGGGGCTGTAAGGAACGTCCTCCCATCAGAGTTTTTGAGTCCTTAGCTCAGATTAAGCCATGGTTAAGCTTTGAGTGGCAGTAGTGCAGTGCCCTTTTTTACTATAATTCATCTGTTTGGAGCTGGAATGATCTGACCAAGGTCTTATGGATCTGGTGTGGTGGTTCTTGGAACTGTAAAATAAGCCCATGTACTGAATCTGCAAATTACTTTTCCAGCATCCATCTTACCAAACATGGCTAACATGGTTTGGTTCGTTCACACAGTAACTTCTGAGGCATAGAAGTTCTGTTTTTGTTTTGTCTGAGTGTTTTCTCATCTCTATGCTCATCTCTATGCTCTGGAAGACGACTTCTCAGCAAAAGCTCTGCTTGCTAATCACACCACTGGTACCTATGAGTAAGAGGGTTTTATGTCCTGCGGCCCACTAACTTGCTATCAGATGGAAATCAAGAGAAACCCTGTGCTCTTGCCTTACCATCTGTTTGAGACTGCAATAACCTGTGCCGGCAACTCAATGCAGTAATAACACGGAAGAATGGATTAAGTGGTGGTTTTCTTTATAACAACATGGGTTTACTTATAAAAAAATCTGCATCCCACTTGCACAGGCTTTGCAACCCACCCACTTGAGACTCACAAACCACAGTTTAGGAAATGTTAATCCAGGGAACAAGTAGATCAATAAATTATGTGTGGCCGCCGAGACCATATAACATTGGCTCCCAGTATGTTTCCGAGCACAATTCAAAGTGTTGGTGCTGACCTTGAAAGCCCCTAAACAGCCTCGGTCCAGTATACCTGAAGGAGCGTCTCCACCCCCATCGTCCAGCCCGGACACTGAGGTTCAGCTCCGAGGACCTTCTGGCAGTTCCCTCCCTGTGAGAAGTGAGGTTACAGGGAACCATGGAAAGAGGGCCTTCTCGGTAGTGGTGCCTGCCCTGTGGAACATCCTCCCATCAGATGTCAAGCAAATAGACAACTATCTGACTTTTAGAAGACATCTGAAGGTAGCCCTGTTTAGGGAGGTTTTTAATGTTTGATATTTTATCGCTATTTTATTCTGTTGGGAGCAACCCAGAGTGGCTGGGGAAACCCAGCCAGATGGGCAGGGTATATTATTATGTTTAATTATGGTATAAATATTATGTTATAGAAAAGATGACAAGAGAAGCATCTTTCAGAGTAAACAACTTTAACAGATCAGGATACCAAGTAGGCCAAGACACCATATGCAGACTACAGTTAACATTAGGAATACTGAGGGGTATTGGTGGTTAGATTAGTACTGCAACTTAGAACCATAGAGTTGGAAAGGACCTGAGGGACATCTAGTCCAACCCCCCTGCAATGCAGGAATCCGGCCCACAGCCATCCCTGTGTGGACTCAAACCACCAACCTTCTGGTTAACAGCCAGACACACTGACCCATTGCGTACTACCGCAATAGATTACAAAATACAGTGGTACCTCAGGTTACAGGGGCTTCAGGTTACAGACTCCGCTAACCCAGAAATAGTACCTTGGGTTAAGAACTTTGCTTCAGGATGAGAACAGAATTCGCGTGGCTGCAGCGGGAGGCCCCATTAGCTAATGTGGTACCTCAGGTTAAGAACAGTTTCAGGTTAAGAATGGACCTCCAGAACGAATTAAGTTCTTAACCTGAGGTACCACTGTAGGTGTTAAAGGTGACAAATACGAGCACAGCCAAATGGCCAACTACAAGTAGTAATAACAGCAATAATAAGGAATAAAAGAGTAGGAAATGGAAGTAAAGGCTGGGGGAGAGACTTCCAAATAACCATTGCACATACCAGCCCAGTATATATGGTAAAATATTTTCTTTGTGTCTCATTCCACCAGTACATAATAAACACACTCCATTTTTTAATAAATAAATTATTAGATTGCTTACCTTCCCTCATTATAATTCTATTATTTAATTTATGAATTTTTACTACTTGGTGAAGGAGTTTGGGGTTTGTTTCTTCCCCCCATTTAGAACTTGTTATCCATGCAGCTGTTAAGAGGCGAATGGTAATTTCCTTATCTTCTGGCAAAACCAGACCTTCTGCGTTACAAAACAGAACAGCTAAGAAATTTGCTGGCAGCATATAACCTGGAATGCTTTCCTTTCCTTTTATAATATTTATCAAAATGATCTTTATTCAGGGGCAAGACCAGAATATATGGAGCATATCAGCATTTAGTGTTTCTCATTCCCAACACTTATTATTTGTGCCTATGTTTATTTATTTCAACCTTGAAGGTCTCAAATACCAACAGATAAGAAGTTTATATAAAAAAAACTTTAAGATTAATATTTATTTCCTGTGGGACATATTGCCCTATCTACTTCCATGCATCTAGCAGGATCTCATTATTCAAATACTGTTCACAGCTGCTTTAATATGTGTTGACGGAAATATCATTAGCCATAATAATATCACATAGCTTACTCAATAACTTTGGTCTTTGCCCTTTAGCCATTACATTTTCAAAATCTGTTCTCTCTCGCATAATGTGCCACATTTTAAAACGAGGCATTTGGCTATGTGTCTCATTTGTAGATACTGAAAGAATTGCAGCAGGTGCTCTCCAATTCCAATACTAATTCCTTTGTAAGATTTTAAGTGTCCACCTTTAAAAAAGATCCCATATCTCAATCCAACCATTAAAGGTAAAGGTAAAGGGACCCCTGACCATTAGGTCCAGTCGTGGCCGACTCTGGGGTTGCGGCGCTCATCTCGCTTTCTTGGCCGAGGGAGCCGGCGTACAGCTTCCGGGTCATGTGGCCAGCATGAATAAGCTGCTTCTGGTGAACCAGAGCAGTGCACGGAAACGCCGTTTACCTTCCCACCGGAGCGGTCCCTATTTATCTACTTGCACTTTGACGTGCTTTCAAACTGCTAGGTTGGCAGGAGCAGGGACCGAGGAACGGGAGCTCACCCCGTCATGAGGATTCGAACCACCAACCTTCTGATCGGCAAGCCCTAGGCTCTGTGGTTTTAACCCACAGGGCCACCTGCGTCCCTAATCCAACCATTATCATGCCACAATTGCAAATTATTTATATTAACAACATCTGATCACATTGAGATTAGCACGGGACTCAGCTACGCAGCTGCAAATAAAATGCTTTAAATGTGTTGTAAAGTGCAATATACAAATGTGACACTAAATTCAATGTATTTTTCAAAACTTTTTTTTTAAAAAAAGCATTTTGACAGCGTTTTTTGTATGTGTGTAGATTCCACCCTGCACTAATCATGTTTTGTTCACACTATCACTTACATAACCAATTACATAAACTAGACACTTGACCAAGTCCACACCTGAAAACTAGCAAGGGTCCTTAGTTCACATCCGATTTCAGAACATGCAGAACAATATCCTATGAAACTGCTTCAGAGAGCCTTATTCTATCATAATGGACCACATTTTAAAACAGCTACTCCAAAGAGTACCTGAATCCATTAGTTGGCTAGATCACCCAACAAGAATGGCTTTGGTTTGTGTTGTCCCTTATTCTGCTAAGATTTATAGTGTATTCCTTTAGGAACTTAGACTAATATGTGCATACTCTTCTATATTGTTAATCCAGCCTTTCCCTAAGAAGCGATCCAATCATAAATGATCTATTAATTTGATATACTGATTTTTTATGCGCTTATTTTATTTTATGGGTGTATTTTATTGTTGATACTATGCTGGTTACCGCCATTACATTCTTCTTCAAGTTGGCAATATAGTCTTGAACTGTCGGGCATATAAGGAACTGGGAACTTCAACATCATCTCTCCCTCCCCCTTTTATCTGTACACACTGAAGGATTGCACTGGCACTCTGTGTCCAATATCAGCATAGTTGGAAATCAATTTTTAACACAACCCCTTTTATTATATTAAGTTAAAAACAGCTAATGCGAGTCAGCAGCACCACACTCAGGAAAGCTGCAGAAGCAAAGGGAAAGAACTATTATGAGAGCGTGTTTGATTTTTAAAATGATTATTTAAGGGCTGTTGTTCACTATCCTGAGTCATGCTAAGAAAAATTAATCTGAATCTTTACTATTCCTAAGCAGTTACATACCAGAATCATTAAGATTCTTAAGCGGGGGTAGCACCCTTAGTGATGTATGGAAGTGGGAGCTGGACCATAAAGAAGGCTGATCAGCGAAGAATGGATGCTTTTGAATTATGGTACTGGAGGAGAGTCCCATGGACTGCAAGAAGATCAAACCTCTCCATTCTTAAGGAAATCAGCCCTGAGTGTTCACTGGAAGGACAGATCCTGAAGCTGAGGCTCCAATACTTTGGCCACCTCAGGAGAAGAGAAGACTCCCTGGAAAAGACCCTGATGTTCGGAAAGAATGAGGGCACAAGGAGAAGGGGACGACAGAGGACGAGATGGTTGGACAGTGTTCTCGAAGCCACCAGCTACGAACATGAGTTTGACCAAACTGCGGGAGGCAGTGGAAGACAGGAGTGCCTGGCGTGCTCTGGTCCATGGGGTCATGAAGAGTCAGACACGACTAAACAACTCAACAACAACAAAGCACCCTTACCTTTTGTGGGAGCTGTAGGGGTGCATGGTTTGTCTAAAATTGGAGAAGTCAGGATATGGAGATTAAATATTTCATTACACCTCCCCTTCACGGCCTAGGACCCTCGTACCTACGGGACCGCCTCTCCCGATATGCCCCACGGAGAGCCTCAAGGTCCATAAATAACAACACCCTAGTGGTCCCAGGCCCTAAGGAAGTTAGATTGGCTTCAACCAGAGCCAGGGCCTTTTCAACTCTGGCTCTGGCCTGGTGGAACGCTCTGCCTCATGAGACCAGGGCCCTGCAGGATCTGATTTCTTTCTGCAGGGCCTGTAAGACAGAGTTGTTCCGCCTGGCCTTTGGCTTGGAGCCAATTTGATTCCCTCCCTCCCTCTCTTTTCCTTCTCCTCCTGCGATGAGGCTACATTTTAATATTTTAATGTTCCATTATTTTAATGTTGTATTTTATTTTTGTTTTTAAGTTGTAATCATTCATCTTGTTTTTATTATTGCTTGTAAGCCGCTCTGAGCCCGGCCTTGGCTGGGGAGGGCGGGGTATAAATAAAAAATTATTATTATTATTATTATTATTATTATTATTATCATCATCAATCAGGTGGGAGGAGATCATGGGGGGGAATGTGAAGTTTCATCCTCCACTTCCTACAATCTCCCCATCCCAACCCCACTGATCAGAAGGACACTGCAGGGAAGAGAGGTCAGGCTGGCAGAAACTTGCTGCCAATGAGGGTATAGGTCACTCTCTTCCTCCATCAGCAAGCTGTTGCTTTTCCAAAAGAAAAAAAAGAAATCCCCTTTCTCAGTGCACAATAAGGAAGTGTGAACCCAATATCTAGATGTGTAGGAATGAGGCATGGATATGGCTTCCACCATGACCACGTTTTCACTTTGGTCCCACTTACAGCTGGTATGCAAAGGTTATCCACAAGGAAAACACTCCCTTGGGCTATGAAAGCTTCTCTTCTGCTGCCTTAGGGTAACGGAAGTTGAGGCCTTGCTCCTTCCCACAGCAATACAACTCTATTTAAATTATGATCCAAAGCAAAGTTTCCTTACAGATCTTAATAAAATGGTGTCCTGCGCTCATATTAATTAATACCGCATCACACAGAGCAGTATTCAAGTGTTTTCCGATTCTCCCACGCTGCTCACTTGTTACATATGTTCAAGGTACCACTATTAAGGAACTGTAGTGCTTTCAAGAATGTCAAGCTAAAATCAACCCTAAAAAGCCTTTACTCTGATACAAGAATGAGAAGCGCCTCTGGCCTTCCTGATGATGTTGAACTACAACTTCAATCCCATGGACCATGTTAGCTGGAGCAGAGGACAGTTGAAGTCCAACAACATCTGGATGACCACACTGCTCTAATAGATTAGCTCACTGTACCTACCCAAGCTGCTGGTTTCTCATTTGTGTGTCCTTTTCTCGTCCTAGGCCATCTGTCAGGCTGGAGAACTGCTGACACAATTGAAGCGCAAGCATCCTGTCACTAACATCACTGAATGCTTGTTAAACCTTAAGCAGTGAACCATAATAAATGCAGCATCATCACCTTTCATGTCTTTACCTTTCCCCAAACTGGCTTATGAACTCTCTCCATATAAGAAGGTGCTCAGAGTAGAGGCAATAAACGCCAATGACGTGATAGAAAATTACAAGAAGGCAGTTTGGGGGAAACGAAGGAAAGACAGGGTGACGAACAATTTGAAACTCTACATGAGGTTTGGGTGAAGACCGTAGCACTGAGAAGATAGCACAAGAACTGTGCATGCAGTCATTGGTAGGTAGGGGACACAACAACGACCCACAAGAAATATAAACCTGCTAGTGTCTCAAGAATTTGTAGTCTGTCCCAGCACTGAAATATTACTGCA